GGAATTAGACGATTTTCTCAGTTTTTCGTGTGTGGTAACCCATGAATATTTTGGTGATATGATTTTCAGACTTTTTTTTTTTTTTGCAAAACCTTTACAAAACCCTTTGTAGGGAGTTAAGGGAATAGGTTTTTAACCCTTACCATTTTATGAGCCATTTTATAGGTGGAATTAGATGATTTTTCTCAGTTTTTCATGTGTTAGCCCATGAGTATTTTGGTGATTGTTCACATCCATTAAGGTGCAACGTCGTGGTGACTCAAAAAATAAATAATTAATTCAATTTCAAAGAATAAAAGAATTTTAAAAGAAAAGAAAAATTTTAAGGGAGTCGGCACCTAATTTTAGGAAAAACTAGGAAACCAATTAATTAATTAATATAAAATAGAATGTCTACAAAACTAATAGATTCTAGACCTATTCAAGTGATTCCGAAGGGAAAGTATTAGGCCTCCTTCAAAATCTACAACTGTAGATCCCGATTGAATTCATTTTTTTCAAATTGAAGAGGAGATAAAAACATTGTACAAATATAATAAATATGTAATATACAGTAAAATAATAATATAAAAAACCGCCTAACTTTGTGTGACGTCAATAATATACACAATAATGAATCAAAAAATATTGTTCGAATAGCATCAATGGGAAGCAACTTTGGGTACCTATAAAGATACTTAGTAATAATATTAATAAGAATAAATATTAACCAAAATAAATGAAACTACTAACTCAAAAAAACAACCCATCTTATTAGCATGGAAAACCTTGAAAACCAATGATAATTTCTTTATCGACCAATTTTAAGATATAGAAGAATATGAATTTAAACTAAATTTCTGTTTTTTAAAATAGGAAGACCTCGAAAACCGACGGAGAGATATTTTTCATTAGCCAATCTAACGTACCCACTTGTTATCAGTTAAACACATCCAAAAGAAATAAGAAAAAATGACTCGTATACTACCAAAACAGTTAACAAAATATATTAGCAACATAACAATACATACATTAAATAAGAATCATCACAAAAATGTAGATAAGATAAGAATCTATCCAAAAACATGTTAAAAGGCACTCATAACAGGCTGAAACAAAAAAGAAATTACCAGAAAACATTAACAATTACTGGGTGACACAAAAATAAAAATAAAACTGGTCGGAGTTTGAGCTCCTCCGGCCAAAGTTGAAACGAACAAAGTGAATCACCTGAAATGCAACAAATAACAGAGTAACATAGAAGAGCAAAAACAACGTAAAACAACATTCTATTTTAGTTAGATTATTGTTGGAGTGTGGAGTCTTGTTTGATATTGGTACGAATGTCTTGTATGATGAGATTACTTTGAACATCGTGCTTGATGACATCTAGAATTTTCCCTGTTGATTCGGTTGATTGAGTGATGCAAGCCCTTGAAATGATCTTAGGCAAGAATTTTGAAAAGTGAACCAACTTGACAATATACCTCTTTTGTGGTCAACATTGTGAGGTATGTGAACCTAGCTTGGCACCTTTTGAGTTTTACCTCTTTCCTTGGAAGAAACTTGAACAATTGTGACCTCTCTTTATCCAGACCCATAACTTTCATGAAGTATGGTTTGTTTGAATAGCCAACTTAGGCCAAAAGCCTAAGTTGGGAGTGTGGTGAAAGAGAAGGGAAGTCAAGAGTGTAAAAATTTCCCCTAGATTTTGGATTGTTGTGAAAAAGATGAAACCCCTCCATGTCAAGAGTGTGAAAAATCCCCCCTAGATTTCGTAACATAGAAGTAAAAGCTTAAACCTCATCGGAAATGGAGCTTTTGGTGTTGTTTGTAGGTTATTGTTGGTCACTCTGATGGTTGATTGGCGGAGAAGTGGGTTGAGCGGTGGTTCTCACTGGAGAAAGGAGAAAAACGAATGTGGGGTTCGGGTGGCTTTTTGCTGGAGTTGTTGTTCGTTGTTGTTCCACCGCCGTTTGAGGTCGTTGGTAGGTCGGACTAATCAGAAATACAAATGAACAGTAAAATTCATTAGTAAAACATGTATTTTGAATTATTTAAGGAATAAAATATTTAAAAGTATTAACTTTGAAAAATATCAGATCAAAATTTGGTGTAAACAATAATATGGCTTCAGGATGTATTCAAAAAATGGGAAATTATTAATAAATTGATTAAAATTGTAAAACATATATTTTGAACTATTAAGGAACAAAATATTTAAGAGTATTAACTTTAAAAAATATCAGACCAAAATTTGGTGTCAACAGTAATATGGCTTCCAGATGATTTTTTTTTTGCAAAACCTTTACAGAACCCTTTGTAGGAAGTTAGGGGAGAAGTACGTGAAGTCTCAACATATTTAGAGGATTATGCGATTTTCTCAACTCTTCATGTAAGGTAACCTATGAATATTTTGGTGATACGACTTCTCGATAATTTTTAATAAAACCTTATGGAACCCTCTGTAGGGAGTTGGGGAGGGAGCAGTACATGAACCTCACCATTTTTTGTTCATATAGCATTTAGGAGTCATTTAAAAGAAATTGAGCAATTTTTTCAATCTTTTCGTATGTAAGCCCATTGAATATTTTGGTGATATGACTTCCGGACAATATTATTGCAAAATCTTTACGAAACCCTCCATAGGATAAGTAAGTGTAGCCTCACCATTTTTTGAACATATTTTGGTAATATGACTTTCGGATGATGTTTTTGCAAAACCTTTACTTCTTCATAGGTTGGGTGAGCAGTGCGTAAAGTCTCACTGTTATTTGGACTTGTTTACTTAATCAGGCGATTTTCTCAATTTTTCGTGTGTTGACCCATGAATATTTTGATGATATGGTAATACCTTTATCATAATTTCGGAGAGCAATATGTTCAGCCTCTAAATTTTTCACACACATTTTGGGCATTTAGGAGCCATTTTATTTATGCAATTTTCTCAATTTTCGTGCGTTATAATGAATATTTTAATGATATAACTTACAAACAATTTTTGCAAAACTTGTATGGGAACCCTTCGTAAGGGAGACTCTGTAGCCTCACAATTTTTTGCACATATTTGCGACATTTAAGAGCTATTTCTTAGACATTTTCTTATAATTTTTTACGAGAAGCAATCAATTCGTGAAGCATCACCATTTTTTGCTCATATTTTGGACATATAGAAGTCATTTTACAGAAATCAGGCGATTATTTTCTTAGTTTTTTGTTTGTGATTTTTTTGCAAAATCTCTTCATAGGCCTCGCCCCGACGCTCACCCGCCCGGAGGCATAAGGCCCTCCAATGAGGAATCACCCCGGAGGTGTCCTTTACACCTGCTGAAGTGCTCCGACCCGCCCTCCCACCAGCTTATTGAGGCACCCATGCCCGGAGAGCCCA